GGGGGGGAGTACTTAATTTCGGGTGGTTACGAATTCTTACCGCTAGAATTAGTGATGCTGGAGTGGTGCTTGTCGAAGGATAGGCCGACTGTATTCCCAGACACTGATGAGGAGTCCCTTTGTAACGCTCAGGAATATGCTAGTGTTCTTTTCCTTGATTGATCAATTAGCAGGGAGTGTCTTTTAACCCAAGGTGTCGATGGTGGTAGCCATATCGTACAGACTACATAACCCCGTTTACAAATCTCACATAGCCACATTTGTTGTGTTTTAGAGGGATAGAAAATAGAAAGGAAACGAGATATATATATATATATATATATATATTTAACTAAGAGAGAATCCGTTTCTTACAGTTTTGGACAAGTTATACGTTTTCCTTCTAAATTATAAGTTTTGTTACAAAATGTTTGTGAAATTTTAATTTTAGCTTTTTTTTTCTTTCGAACTTCAACAACTCCTGAAAATTTCTCCCTCCATTAAATTCTTATTTTGATTATTGTTGTTGGCCGCCAGTGATGAGCCTTTAAGATTCCTTAGGTCAAGTAAATTAAGAGAGAATTAGTGTAGTAAAAAAAGTAATAATTTTTACTGCGTAATTGTACTATCGTGTGATTAAATGAGTAGAAGCTAAAAGAGTAATTGTGCATTAAAAAAAGATGCAATGACATTTATTTGTGTGATATATATTATTTTTGTTAAAAATCTTAACATAAGAATCTTTTTTTTTTTGTTAGTTTTTGTAAGAGTTGTTGAAGTTTGGAGGCAAAAAAGCTTAAATTAAAGTTTGTGGGGCATTTTCCGACAAGACAGTTTTGAGGGCAAACATGTAGGGTGCGCTTAGAATTCGTTCTAAAATGATTTTGTTTTTTTATATGAAAATAGAAATGAAAACGTTTTCAATCTCAAACAGAAATCATTTTTGAAATTACGTTTGGTAGTTTTATCAAGAGATTGTTTTCATTATTAAAAAAAAATAAAAAAAAACTCATTAATCTCTCTCTCTGCTCGAGAGAAGAGAAAACGAAAACAAAAAATGAAAAACGACTAAAAGTCGTTTTTTATTCCTCTCCCATTTTACACTAAATCAAAAAATCATTTTCACTTTCGTTTTTTGTCTTTAATTGTGCTAAACGCCGTTTTAGAATTATTTTTATTTTTTTCTCGAAAAACGTGAAAAACAAAAACAAGAACAATTCTAAACACGACAGTAATTTATCCAATAACTTTTTTATTTGGGTTTTTTAATGCTTTTTTTGAGTATTTTTGGGTTTTGTTCTTTTAGATTTTTTTTTCCTTTTTGTCTTTTTTTTTTCCTTCTGTCTCTTATATTTTAAAAAATTTGTATAATCATTTTTAAATGAGCCGCGCGTGTTTTGACGAGTATATATAACCTAAAAAGTGAGGAAATTGGAGATGAAGAAGAGGACCACGTAATGCAGGTCACTTTGTCACCTACTCATTTAGTTTCTAGAGGTTTGCCAGTTTGGACTTAATTAGGTGGCGATTGTGGTGGTTCTTTTATTCATATGTAGAGACGTCAAACACTGCCTCCTGTTCTTGTATATAACACGTCACAATACTCATTCTTTGCCCTTCGATTTAGGTTTTTACCTGCTTCTTTTCATCCAATCAATTGCATAAGAATCATATTTCGATACTGTCTCTAAGCCTAAACTGTAACTGCGCAGAATTGCCTTGGCCTTCGGCCTTCTAATGAAGCAAGTCTTTTTTTTTTTTTTTTTTTACGTAATTTTGTTGCTATGTGTTTTTTTTTTTTATAATTTCGCTGTCTTTGTGATAAAGATTTTAATTTTCTTATCTTTATGTTTCCGTGTAATCTTTTTATATTTTATGTCCACTACCACGCTAATGCTAGGTCGTTGTTAATATTTTCTGTTACGTAGAATAAAGTTGTTGAATCTGTACTTGTAATGAAAAAATATAATGTCATTTCTTAATGATTACACGAGTGCCATATAATGATTGTTTGTACATTCACAATGGATAACGATACCTGTCAATTGAGAGTATTGTATTTCAAATATTGATATTATTTTTTAAGGTTATTTACTAAATTTGTTGGTACTTTCCTCTCATTTTAGCGAATATTGTTGTTGATTAGTTAATTGTTTTACATTAAGATTGCTAAAAAAAAAAAAAAACGTCACGATTATGTCTAAAAGGTTAAAAATGTCATTGCATGATGCGTTTTAGAGGTTTAGGATATATTTTTAGTTTTCAGACCCTTTTAATATGAGTAGTGGTAAATGACTACTTGTCTCACTTAGGGGGAAGAAAAAGAAGCTATAAAAGATTTTCCTAAAGAAACAGCAAAATTACTAATATGCTTAATAAAAAAGATTAATTTAATGAATGCCCTTTGAATTATGTATCTTAATTTAATATGCATTTTGAATTTTGAAAACGGTTTATTTAATCTTTTGAACTATAAAAAATGGTTTAGAGAACCATTCAGATCTGTAACACTACTTGTAATTTTATAAATTTATGTTGAACTATTGATTTTAAGTTGGCTTATTTATGAAATGAATAGTGTGAGGATATTCACCAAAAGGAATTATAGTCTGTGGGCATTTATGAATTTACGTAGTGTAGGTGTGTTTTGAATGATTTTATTATACAATTTAGAGGTGAAATAAATTCTTTTTAAAGTTTATAAGACATGTTGAACTAAGGAATTAACGTAGTTGAAGAGGACTTTATAAAATTAATTCTCTGTTTACAAAGCAATTTGCATTGTTATAATAATTTTGAGAAGCCCACTTGTTTAGTTCCTATTTTGAAACCACTCTTAGGATCTTAGAAGTTGGAAAGAAAAAAAAAAAAAATATATATATATATATATAACTTATCTTTAACTTTTAAGAGTGTATGAGTCTTAATTTTTACACTAATGTGAATTGTGTCAAAAAAAAATCATTTAGTAGCCAATTTTCCTAATATACTAGGCTTGGAAATATTAAACATCATTTATCTACTTTCATAATCAATTCCCTAAAATATTTTCAACTATAACAAACGTAAATTTAGACTAATGGTATGTTTACCTACACCTAATCGGAATGAGCATGATTCGGAGTGAGCAGGATTCGGAGTGGGTAGGATTCGGAGTGAGGAATCGGAGTCAAAATAAGCTGTTTACTTAGTGATAGGATTCGGAATCGGAGTCATTCTAAATCTCATTCATACGTTTACTTACACCCAGAATCGGAATGAAAAATTATAAAAGTACTAATATACCATTTAAATTAATTTGATATTTTCAATTTAAAAAATATAGTGTACTTATTATATTAAAATTAATCATAATTAAAATATTTTGTGTAATAATTGGGTACTAAAATAATAAATATAAATTGTACAACTATTTAAAATATAAAAATAATGTTTAAATAAAAATAATGTTAAAAAATAAAATATATTATTAATTTATTAACAATAAAGTACATATTTATTATATTAAAGTTAACAATAATTATGCTAATATTATAATATTAGGCAAATAAAATAATAAATATATGTTGCATTTATTATTTTCTGAATTTTATTTTTAATTGTGTATTTATAAGTAAAATAAGGGTATAATAGTAAATTAATATTAATATTAGGAATGAGAGTCTCAATCCTAAAGGGGGCATGGGAGTGCCAATCTCATTCCTCAATCTCAAATTTGAGTGGAGCCCACCAATCTTACTCCTATTTCAGGATAAAAAAGAACAAGTAAACATGAAATTGACACTCATTCTCTACTCCCATTATTCAATCCTAACAAGTAAATATGCCATAAGTACGGCCTTCTAGATAGGGACCTGCCAAACACGCTAGTATAGTTAATTAGCATTTTCTTATAATTGTTTGTATGGATGTCATTAATTATGGCGTCTTATGACTTGTTTTTTTTCTTCATTTGGCATTTTCTTAATTACTGCTTAAAAACGGCAAAGAGGCACACTCATTTGTCAGAGTCATCATACGCGATTTTCCCACCATACGTATTACGTAATATACATGTACATACGATAATCATTTTCTTATAATTGTTTGTATGTATGTCATTAATGATCATCCAAGTACATAGGAGTCCATGGTACGTGTTTAAAATCAGAGGGACCCACTCAACATTTTAAGCAACTTTTAGGGTAATTAACATTATTAGTTCTTAACTTTTTTATTAAGTGACATGTACATACGTATTCTCACTTGGTCCATGTGAAAATTCTACAAATTTTTTGTTTTAATTTTAGTTTGTTGTGAAGATTGTCGGATTCTGTATATACATATATGTATAAATTGTAGCAACGTAGCTTATTAATCATACACACATGGTTAATTTGTTTGTTATGTTCATTTTGACCCGAATAATTTGAAATTTGCTTAATTGTAGCGTTCTGTTATGGTTTTCATATATTTTCTTCTGCCGTGAAATTAAAGAGGTTTCGAGAAGCTAGTTTCTAAAACTAAGGGCACGTTCTTTTATCTAAAAAATTTAAAAAAAGACAACTCGAGTTCTTATTTAAGTTTACGTTCTTTTAAGTTTTAACTTTATTCAACT